GTAAGATTTCCCTACAAAAAATTGTTTGAGGGCAAATAATAACGAAACTATCTGAAAATTCCTGTTTAATAATAAACAATCGTCTGTTTAGTCAACCCAAGTAATAGATAATATTCCTAACCTAAGGTCTGTGAGTGGTTTGGGGGATCAGATATATGCCCCAGCTTTTTTTCTTTGTTTTCTGTCCTCTTCCTTTTTTTTTTTTTTTTGAGACAGAGTTTCACTCTTATTGCCTAGGCTGGAGAGCAATGGCTCAACCTCGGCTCACCGCAACCTCCGCCTCCCAGATTCAAGCGATTCTCCTGCCTCAGCCTCCCAACTAGCTGGGATTACAGGCATGCACCACTACACCCGGCTAATTTTGTATTTTTAGTAGAGACAGGGGTCTCTCCATGTTGGTCAGGCTGGTCTTGAACTCCCGACCTCAGATGATCTGCCCACCTCAGCCTCCCAAAGTGCTGGGATTACAGGCGTGAGCCACCGCACCCAGCTCTTAGTTTTTTAAAAAAGCTTTATTGATCTATATTTCACATACCATAAAATTTACCCATCCCAACAATCCATCTTTGTGTGTGTGTGTGTGTGAGATAGAGTGTCACTTTGTCCCCCAGGCTGGAGTACAGAGGTACAGTCTCAGCTCACTGCAACCTCTGCCTCCCAGGTTCAAGTGATTCTCGTGCCTCAGCCTCCCTAGCAGCTGGGGTTACAAACACACACCACCATTGCCTGGCTAATTTTTTTATTTAGTGGAGACGGGTTTTCACCATGTTGGCCAGGCTGGTCTCAAACTCTTGACCTCAGGTGATCCGCCTACCTCAGCCTCCCAAAGTGCTGGGATTACAGGCATGAGTCATCATGGCCAGACACAACAATCCATCTTTTTAGACTCCTTGCTTGTTAGTCAGTTGATAGTGTAGCAAATTTTTTTTTAAGTTCCCCAGTTCTAATCTTCACTCCCACCCTTAACCCTGGGTAACCACTAATCTGCTTTCAGTCTCTGTAGTTAAACTTTTTCCAAAAATGTCATATAAATGAACTCATATAATATGTAGTCTTGTGCATCTGACTTCTTTTACACAGTACAGAACTTTCAAAGCTTATCCATGTTGTATTGTGTATTCATAGTATTTTATTTTTATTGCTGGGTAGTATTCTAGCATATGGAAATATCACATTTTGTTTATTCATGCACCAAATGAGGGACATTAGGATTGTTTCCCATTTTGTACTATTAAAAACAATGCTGCTGCCGACATTTGCCTGTAAGTCTTTGTATGGACATGTTTTCATTCTTCTTGTATAGATACTTGTGAATGGAATGGTTGGGTTATATTGTAAGTATATTGTTAATTTTTTAAGAAACTGCAAACTGTTTTCCAAAGTGGCTGTACCATTTTGCATTCCCACCAGCAGTACATCAGTGTGACAGTTTCCCTGCATACTCCCCAACCTTGGTACAATCAGTCTCGCTTATAGACACTCTAGTGGATGTGTAATATTACTTCACTGTGGTTTTAAATTAGATTTCACTGATAATGATATTGAACATCTTTTCATGTGCTTATTAACCATTCATGTATTTTCTTTAGTAAAGTGTCTATTCGAAGTAACTTTTAAAACATTTGACTATTTATCATCTTCTTACTGAGTTGTAAGAGTTCTTTATGTAGTCCAGAATTTTTCATGTTAGTTTTTAAAATAGTTTTGAGAGAAAGGGGACAAATGTTATTAATGACTTTTTTGTCAAGTCATGTTATTAACGGTTATACACAGTTGGAAATTCTGTCATCATTGCATTGAGGGCACATGCATTCGCCACCACTATGCCCCCCACGACTATATATCTTTCACTCCAACTTTAAAAAGACTTGACAACAAAAAAGAAATGACAGCACTGAAGCTACTTAATCACCAAAAATTATAGCGCACAGAGCCTAAGTATTTTAATGTGGCAGAGGCCTCACCAACTTAAAGTTGTGAAAACGGAAGCACCTTATTTTTTTTATTTTAAAAATATATCGAACAGTTCGGATTTTTTTAGTAAGTAGTAGTTACAGTTTGAAACTTTACCAAAATGTGGATGAACTTGTTCCATCACAGAATCTTTTCTTGAAGGATTCTTCAAGACTGACTTTTACATTACCAAGAAAAGAAGCCACATGAAATTGGAAAGACTTGTAAGCTTTATGTGCTGACAGTGAACTACTTCTATGCCAAATTTCAGGTGATGCCATCTTCTTCAGGGTTGTCATCATTTTTTCCAATATTTTGAAGTGAATTTTGAGGGAATTGGAAACTATCCCATTTTCCTCCAGAATGCAACTTGATGAAATGATATTGCTCAAAGCAGTTAGTTCCTAGTTTTTGTCGGTTAACATGCATGTTGACACAATTAAAGAAAAATTCCTAATATATAGGTCTCTTGTGGAAATTGCAAAGGCTGTTAATATACTACCAGCATCTCTGACAGACTTAAATTTCTTTGCCAAAATAACCACCAGAATTTTTTTCTTTTTTTTTTTTTTCTGAAACAGAGTTTTGCTCTTGTTGCCAGACTAGAGTGCAATGGTGTGATCTTGACTCACTACAACCTCCTTCTCCCAGGTTCAAGTGATTCTCCTGCCTCAACCTCCCAAGTAGCTGGAATTACACCACGCCTGGCTGATTTTTGTATTTTTAGTAGAGACAGGGTTTTTCCATGTTGGCCAGGCTGGTCTCAAACTCCTGACCTCAGGTGATCCACCCGCCTCGGCCTCTCAGAGTGCTGAGATTACAGGTGTGAACCACCATGCCTGGCCAAAAAAAAATTTTTGACTATAACAAAGATCTTAGTACTCCGCACAGATGGTGCATCTTCCAAACTTAGCAATGTGCATACTTAGACTGCCTCAGAGGAGAAAGCAGCTCCACCCGTTGAAATAATGTGTTGCTTTTTTTCACTGCCACATACTGGCTTTAAAGACTGTCTCCCAACAGACCTAAAAGTTTTGCCTGTTACCACAGAAGTAATCAATTTCATGAGAACAACGTTTTTATCAAGAAAAAGGATAAAAATATAAAATTCTCCTTTGCTTGATTAAATTTTTGGCAGGAGTTTTGCTTTTTAAGAGAAAAGAAAGTTTAGTACAGGAGGAGTTTATTCATGGCTTGATTTTTACTTGGGGATATTTGGAGCTTTATGAATGGGTACTCTAATTCAAGGTCTTACAGTTGTCATAGACTTGGCAGAAAAGTAGTAAACTGTTAGCCAAGTTACTGCTGAGTAAGGTAAAGCCAGGAGTTTGAGACCATCCTAGGCAACATGGTGAAACCATCTCTACTAAAAATACAAAAAATTGACTAGGCATGGTGGCATACATCTGGAGTCCTGGAGTCCTGTAGAAATGGACAACCAGGCCGGGTGCGGTGGCTTGTGCCTGTAATCCCAGCACTTTGGGAGGCCGAGGTGGGTGGATCATGAGTTCAAGAGATCAAGACCATCCTGGCCAACATGGTGATACCCCCTCTTTACTACAAATACAAAAATTAGTTGAGCGTGGTGGCACGCGCCTGTGGTCCCAGCTACTCGGGAGGCTGAGGCAGAAGAATCACTTGAACCCAGGAGGCAGAGGTTGCAGTGAGCCAAGATTGTGCCACTGCACTCCAGCCTGGTGACAGAGCAAGACTCCGTCTCAAA